GTGTGTGCGTGCAAGGACACCCTCGCTTGATTAATCAAACGCACTTATTGTTGAGTCGCGAGGTGCTGTCAACGTGTTGTGCCAAAATGCATGTCCCCTCGCTTGTGCGCGATCGGGTTACACGATGCTCAACAATACGTACAATACTGAGCAAAATGCACCGATTGATGGCCACCTTTACCTCTGAGTGTTCCAGACGACGCTTAGACATAGGCTTGCATGATGTCTTCCCGAAAAATGCCGATGAAGAAAATCTTTGCAATTCGGTAGCTGCCGATCAGCGAGAGACACGCTAAGAGAGACGGTGGGGTCGGGGGTCCCTGGTTGTGTACACAAATTTCCCAGAATCACTTGCGCGCCCACGGGTGGCACTGTGGTGCTTGAAAAACATCTATTCCCCAAACAGACAAATGTAACAGAGTTAAGCAGCTTCGTAGGATTATGCTCCTACTTTCGTCAATTTGTGCACAACTTCACCTCCATAACTGCACCTTCGACCCAACTTTTAAGCAGCACCAACGATATCTCGTCATAGTCTTCTGAGTGTGATCACGCCCATTTACCACTCTTCGCTGTCTCTTGACATCACCACCTATATTGCACCACTACGATCCCATGGCTGCAACTGAGATTCATACAGACGCCAGTAGTGTCGGTCTCGGTGCAGTTCTCGCTCAACAAAAGCCTGGGTGTCCTGAGTATTTCGTCACATACGCCAGCAGAACACTCACCAAGGCCGAGTTAAACTACAGTGTTACCGAAAAAGAGTGCTTGGCCATATTTTGGGCACTTGTCAAGTTCCGCCTGTACTTATAAGGCGGCAAGTTTGCGTAGTTACAGACCATCACGCATTACCTTGGTTGTCATCGCTGAAGAATCCGTCAGGTCGCCTTGCTTGTTGGGCTCTTCGGCTTCAAGAGTATGACATCGGCGTCGTATACCATTTTGGCCACCAACATGCTGATGCACTCTCGCAATCACCACTGTCCACTGAGGCTGCTTCCATATCCTCTATAAATAACGCACTGCCCGCTCTTGACGTCAACACAATCTCCTCTGCACAGCGCGACGATCCATGGATAGCTTTGCTTCTGGACGTTTTATATGAGGCACCAACACTTCCGACCACGCGAGCAATGCGACGCAAGGCTTTGCACTTCACCATTGTACTGGCGCAATGACTCACCAGACGGCAGGAAGTGGCTGCTCGTTATTCCCCAAAAGCTGCACTCTACAATCTGTGCATCATTTCACTCCAACCCGGAATGCGCTCACGCCGGCGTCTTCAAGACCTACAGACGTTTACAGAAAAGGTACTACTGGCACGGAAATGTTCACCTTTGTTCAGCAGTTTATTCACGGCTGCCACGAGTGTCAAGGAAGGAAAAAGCCACTGTATCACGGAGCAGCTTCACTACGGCCGCTTGCATGCCCTGACCACCCATTCGATTGCGTCGGAGTTGACCTTTATGGACCACTACCATTGACCATGGCAAGTAACCAGTGGACTACCGTGCTGTGGATCACCTGACACAGTATGCCGAAACCGCTTCTCTTCATGCGGCAACCCCTCCTCGCGAACTCCTCAGTGACTGGGGCCGTGTATTTCTATCCAATAAAACTCAAGCACTTCTCCACCATGTGCCTAATTGTACACCGGATGAATACTGCTCACCACCCTCTGTCCAATGGCTTGACTGAGCGGTTTAATCGGACCCTGATTGACATGCTCGTGACGCATGTTGCATCGGACCAAACAAACTGGGACCTGGTTCTTTTGTTTGCGACCTACACGTATAACACCACTACCCAAGTCACCACTGGCTTTTCCCCATTCTTCATACTTCCTTCTATACGGTCGCCAACCATCGCACAAAATCGACCCTTTGCTGCCATACGCATCAGATGCATCTGAGTGCACCATTGTGTCCGAAGCAGCCCGTCACGCCGAAGAATGCTGCCAACTAGCGAAGCAGTTACTACAGTCAACCAACAATGCCAAAAAGAGGCCGGCTATGATGACCACCCTCCTGCCATGAAGTTCACCCCTGGAATCTTTGTATGGCTGTACGTATCACCTTGTACACCTGGTTTGTCTACCAAGCTACTCTCAAAATACCATGGTCTATACCACGTGGTAGAGTGCACATCACCTGTCAATTGCACCATTGAACCGCTTATACCGCTTGGTGACCATTGTTGGCGTGGGCACGATGTTGTTCATGTAGACCACTTGAAGCCGTACTTCGACCGGCTCGTTCCCACCTGTTCCCACCTATTAGATCACCAGGATGGCTTCATCTTTCTTGATAGGGGCAATTACAATGAAGGAATGAAGACAATAACAGGAAACAACGAGCGTCATCACGATAGGAAGGCACTACGAGATCGGCGCTCGAACACCACCATCTTCTTCGTCCTGTGGCTATCTCCAATCCTCCACCTGTTTTTTGGACATGCCCAATAAACCTCTTTATTATAGTTATCAGTATCGAGTGATTCAGTTCATCACTTCCGTGACCACTTCAGGAAGCTTTTCTTTGCTTTTTAAAATGTTAATAATCGCAGCAATCCAAATTTGGTTACATGATTCCAATTTAAATGTAAATAAAATGTAAGAACTGTGTGTTCACTAAGCTACTTAACTTAAGTAGTCTGAATAGAGGCAGATGAAAACAAAAGCACTTCCCCCCCCCCCCCCCCCCCCCTTTTTTCCTCATCTTAAAAGAGCCAGAGCTGAAGAGCAGTGAGAGCAGATTCTTTCAATAATGTGGCAAACACTTTTAATGTGGCAGACCTAGCTGAACATATCTTCATCTGTTGTATATCAACTAGTTTTCTTTATCGAACCTGTCTGCCGAGCGGGTGATTGTCAATGTTGTTGGTTGTAATAGCTCATACTTCTTCGCCAAGACCCACAATTTTTTTTACAATTTTTCTAGTCCCTCAAGATACTGCACTTCATTTCCAAATCTATTGCAGTGCACTTTCTTATTGCTGGCAATATTGTGCATTTCCAATAATCAGCAGGCCGATGAGAAATCTACCATTTTGGCAGTGAGCCAAACAAAGAGGAGAAATCACATGGCCGGGTACAACTTCAAGACAGCCAGCAAAGATGACCACTATTAACACATTGGCAGAACTATGCAGAATGGGGGCCAACAAGTATTTGGGATCAGCACTGTTGGTAAAGTTGGCACGATTCATTCATGTTTCAGATGGTGGTGCAGCATAGAGCTATGGGCAAGCACTGTTCATAGCATGCAATCCTATTGCATGCTATGCACGATAGGATAGTGTGCACGCACAGAGACTGAAAATTTGCATTCATTCCCGTGTCGCACCAATATTTAGCAAAATATGTTCCAGCTACATTTGCTGTGTTCTGACAGTTGCCTTGGATGGTATAGTGGAGAAAAGGATGCATTACATAGATCACAATCTCATTTTTGCTGAGGCTAACAGATGCATGAGTATTAGAAGAGTGAATGTGCTTATATTATATAAGAAGGTTATTCAAAAGTAATGGCTGTTTGCTAATACTTAAATATCTGCACGTCAGAAGAAAGGTTTATTTGTACAGCGCCATATTTTGATTCAAGTTGTTATTCTGCTTCGGTGGTCATCTGCTTTCCAGGGCATGCAAACAACAATGTGTGCGAAAATCGTTACTTCTGCCTGTTGTGAAGTGTAAATGGTAATTCGATTTTCGCATACAAAAGGATCAATCACTTATGAAATTCTGGGGTAGTTGTGCCTGGATTATACACCAGATGTGATGAGTGAAGTAAAGGTCAGAAAATGGTGTTGAGGCTTCACAGATGGCCACACAAATGTGCATGCCAAAGAGCAGAGTGGGAGGCCTAGAATTCAGATCAATAAAACTGTTAATCAAGTGTACTGAGAATTGCAATTAGATCGACGACTGACAGTCAATGGTCTGTTGGATGAATTTCCTTTTGTCAGCTACACTACAATTTGTACGACTATTACTGAAACTCTTGGATATCACAAAGTGTCTGCAAGACAAGTTCCAAAAAGACTTGCCAATCAAACCAAACGGCAAAGAATTACCAGGCGGTGAAGTTCTAAGCAGAGGGACTAAAGAAACTGGTGCAGAAGTACGAAAACTGCTTAGACGTTATCTGTGATTGCATAGAAAGTGCAGCAGGTTTGTATTGAACTAAGTCCCCAATTAAAACTTTTGCTAACAAATATTTATTTTTTTGGGGGATAAAACAGCCCTTATTTTTTGAATGCCCTTAATGAAGAAAAGGTTCTGGTTTGAATTTCACGTATGAAGTACTTTAGAGAACAGTGCATCCAGTTTTATTTCTTGAGCATATAACTATTTTGTTATTATAAAATACATTAATGGGCATGAGCTGAACATTAATAGATCTGTGCTTTAATACAACTAAAACTACTTTTCTAAAAGTTTGGTAACAGTTGCTCTGGTAAAACAGATTCCTGATGCAGGTTCAACACAAAAAAAGTTGGTTCAGGTTCATAATGCCTGACAAAACTACTGCAAGGGAAATACAAAATGCGCTAATAATCAGATAAATGTTTTCTCAATAAAAATGACAGCTGTTAACGTAGGCATCGGTATAGAAGGGTGCAAAAGCAGGACTCGCCTCCTCAAGCCACACCAACACTTGCCCTCATTAAAGTTACACTGTAGCCCTAACCCTCCCTCATCTTCATAAAAACAAGTGTTTGCACACCCCCAAAACAAAATCCTGCCGGTACTGATGGTTGTTAGTACTGTGTGATCCTCTTTTTTCAGTTTTCCAATTGTGCTACCTTTTTGCGCCTTGTATAATGCAGATTAAATCAATAGGAACACCTATGAACACTGGAACAACACTTGCACAACAAAAATACATGAAAAGCTCTTCTCATTTAAACAGGAAAAGTGAGTATACGCTTTTATATGCATACAGTGAATAAAAAACTTGGTTTTGTTTTGTTTACTAGACCCACAAAAAACTTACTTGGCTTCCATATGCTTCACAACCCTCAAGTAGTTCTTGTGTTTTTTGACACGTCTCTGGATTTCATAGAACAGATACCGCAATTGCATCAGGATCACCAAGCTGGCCATCGAAAGGAAAATGTTTCCCCAGAGCTAGAAAAGAAACAATATATGCTCAACATTACGAATTCCCAGTTGGCTCCATGTGTGTAATAAACAAATTTTTTATTCTAAAACTTTCTATTAGTGTGCTTGTGTCTCATAAGCATAGGCCGACAAAAACTGCGGAGCTCGATCAGACTCACTCATGAAATATAGTATTATGCACTTGGGGCTCACTCCAACTCAAGTCAGACTCGGCAAAATTTTCCTGAGCAGGACTTACTCGGACTCACATTCACGAAAAATTTCGTCGTCCAGACTAATTCGGACTGAACCCACCAAAATATTACCTACCCATACTTACACAGACTCGCGGCGTGATGTGAGTCTGATTAAGTTCGAGTGAGTCGACTCATGAGTGAGTTAGCCAGCCTATGCTCATAAGCCTAACCAATCTCATAATATGAAATCTGCATCCCTTAAAATATCAACAATGGTAAAATACTTTCATGGTACAAAGTTTCTTATCCTCACGCGCTTACCATTTTCATAACAAACAAGTTTAACTCCTAATATAAACACATACCCACCGTGGTCACTACAAACACACATTCAAACAAAAAGCAACATTTGCAGCAATTTTCAACATTTCTGATCTAAGCACTCTTTTTTAGCCCCTCGCTCATCACCTGAGCAGGAGGCAAAGGTGAATGAATGTGCAGGACAAAAGCACAAAAGGCATGAGTGCAGACCCAAGAAAAATGAAATGAAGGCAGAGTTTGATGGCACATATGTAGACGCCAAAGGAAAGATGCCATATCTTTCATTTCATAAAGCACTTGCTTTTGGCAGTAGTTTCTATGGATACATTTCATAAACTGAGTCATGTCATTGTTTATTCCAGATAACAGATGCAACTTTTCTTTATTGAGGATGTCCACCATGTTATGGCAGCACGATTTGCAGAGACACGTGTCGGCACTTGATAAGCATGTCCAGAGCTAAAAGCACTTCAATTATATGAATATAGTATTTATGCTTTGTGTATTTTAAATAGTAAGTGTACTAGTAAGCAATATATTTTTTGAACGTTTTTAGCAGGACGATTACTCATTGTATAAAGTGGTCACATTTGGCGCAGTGTGATTGCTTTCGATTTAGTCAGACACTTGGCTTTACAGATATTATGTTATAAATCGGTAGGCGCCCAGTAGTGAAACCAAGCTCATAAAGCCTCTTTAATGCTGCCGCAACAATATGATATGCTTAAAAGGTCATAGAAAGAGCAATAAATGTTATTGAGCAACACAAATGTGTAATATTTCCTCACCTTCTAAAAAATGACAAAGTTTAGCTAATGGGCACCAGTAAAGCCCGAGAAAAACAAGTGCACTGATGTAGAATGACTTACACATTAAAACTTATTCCTTCATTGTACTTTTAGTCTTTGTAACAAAGACTTAGATATGACTATCAGCCTGACATAACTCTACAAAATCACGGTTGTAATCTCAAACAAACATGGGATGTCAAGTTAGTGCCTCTTCTATTTTTTTTCAATGCCAGCCAAATATGACCGATCCAGTCGTTCACCACCCTCTTGCCTAGCTCTTTTCTACTCTAATAAATTGCTTAGCCTTCGTGTGTAATTTGTATTCATGGGGGACAGTACCCTTTAGGTGGTGCCTCACAACAGTAAAAATATGAAGTAATTGTTTGTTCATTTCTGTATAGATCTTAGGTGTGGTGTTTTGCATCCCTTGTGTTCACTATGTTGGTGGTCACGCTGGCTCTGTACGAGACATGGTCTTTTGATACAGCACGTCTCAATTCGTGGAGCTATGCGGGCAACCAGTAGGAAAGTATCACAGAGATGGCGCTGCATGCGCCGATTAAAGAGGTGCTACATGAGCACTGTGAAGCAGCAGCAGCATTGCTTCGAGCCACAAAGAAAGAGCATGAAAGAACAAATCTGACAGACGCACGATATTGGAGAGGGAAAGCGCATCTATCACATCTTCGTGGGAAAGTGCTCGAACACATGTGTGACACAAGCAGTTGTTCCCTTTATGTGGGGTCGCATCACGACCACTCCCTGAACTAAAAGGCGGGCTGATGGCTCCCATTGAGGAGCGAGCGTTTGCACTGGTATTGAAAAAAAATGAAGGAGCCGTCAATTAAGCGAAAAGATATACATCAAGCCGAACGTTTTTTTCAATACACTATTTTTCAAGGTATTGTGCTAAAAACTTGGAACATACATAATGCATATGTGCTTATTTCAAATATATGGTCCATTTATGTTGATTGCATTTGGTTCTGAATCATTGCTTCGAGCCACAAAGAAAGAGCATGAAAGAACAAATCTGACAGACGCACGATATTGGAGAGGGAAAGCGCATCTATCACATCTTCGTGGGAAAGTGCTCGAACACATGTGTGACACAAGCAGTTGTTCCCTTTATGTGGGGTCGCATCACGACCACTCCCTGAACTAAAAGGCGGGCTGATGGCTCCCATTGAGGAGCGAGCGTTTGCACTGGTATTGAAAAAAAATGAAGGAGCCGTCAATTAAGCGAAAAGATATACATCAAGCCGAACGTTTTTTTCAATACACTATTTTTCAAGGTATTGTGCTAAAAACTTGGAACATACATAATGCATATGTGCTTATTTCAAATATATGGTCCATTTATGTTGATTGCATTTGGTTCTGAATCTATGCAAATGGCCTTTTTTCTTTTGCAAATTAAAAAAATATCAGTTCTAACAGGATATCAATGTTATAACTCAAAGTTTGTGATTAGACCAGCTTTAATGCTCTGGCTACACTAAAACAAGATTTGCGAGACATCAGAAGTTAAGCTTCAGAAGCATGGGTGCAGAATAGAGAAAGGGAGAATGAAGACACTTGAGTTGCCATACTTCCACAACAGTAAATGGGCAGACATTAGAACATTCAATATTTTAATTTGAACCAAAAATTAGTTTCAGAACTTCTTTTTAGGATTATGAGACAGAAGGCTCCGATGCTAAAGTATGGAAATCATACTGCACATGTAGACCCATTATGAAAGTTTGTCTCTCCGTATAAACTGTTTTCACCACATGGCGTCCGCATTTACTGTAGGCCGGTTGCCTCGCAGCGCAATGGCCAAGCCGAAGTCGGCATGGTTGCCGCCACGTGAAAGATGGCCACGGCGTGCAGGAACATGAGGAACTGTTCTTTCTTCCCTTCCTTCTTGGTCCTTGAGGTGTCGCACTTGCTCATTCTAGCTTGGCTTGCATGAACCGATCTTGGAAAGACAACTTTTGTTCACTTGAACTGGGAGTCGCACTTGCTGCCAATATCTTTGGTGGCTGAACTGAACATTGTGCAACGTGGATGACGTGCCCATACAGCTGCTTTCCTTTGTATTAGTCCCCATTCTTTTGAAGTACGAACTGGGAGCGATGTCACCCATGGCTGGTTGTCTTCTGCACATTGTCTTCGTTGCCTTCCAGAACTGCAGTTGAGACATCTCAGCAATAGAGATGCTTCTGACTGAATTCAATGGCTATGCAGTTGAGACATCTCAGGCAATAGAGATGCTTCTGGCTGAATTCAATGGCTAACATTGTCTTCGTTGCTTGCCAGAACTGCAGTAGAGACATCTCAGGCAATAGAGATGCTTCTGACTGAATTCAATGGCTAACATGATTAGAGTTCAGGCATGGCCTCTGGGATGTGCATCCATCTCTATTAGTAACAGGACACTAATGAAGCTGCCTGTGACCGCATAGCTCCCTTCTAACCAACACCCACAACAATCTGGGACAGCAGCTGGGACAGGAACAAGTGACTGTGGCCGCTGTGACTCACTTGTGCCAAATGCCATTGTCTTTGTGAAGCCCTCGACAATGTCACTAAGTCGGCAGACAGGCAGCTTGTTGCAAATAAATGGTGCTAATAAAGGTGCAAATAAATACCCTTTTGTTGGCTTGTACTCTGATGTACTGTGTCCTTTGATCCTCCAACGCAAGAAACCCCTCAAAGGAAACATATGGGCAGTTGGCTTGTGCACTATTCCAGCTGCTAGTAGTGCTGACAAAAGGCAAAAAGAGAAGTTATACGGAGCTTACACAGCCCGGACTTGGGTCTACAACTACAGGCTGTTCGGAGGGCCTGGGCCATCGTGGAGGGTCTTCACCTTCCTGTGCAGACCTGGGTGGAGCCGCAGACTTGTTGAGGTGGCCTTAGGAGCTCGTTCAACTAGTACTAGTCCCTCTGGTTTTCACATAAAGTTCTTTGTATGTACCGTATGTAGTCAAGATTACCTCATCGTCTATCAGTTAACCACTGAACACCTCATAGATGATAAGACTAGACAGCCGCACACTATCAGCTGCTGCTGCTGCTGCTGTTGCTTAGATTAATCACAGCTGATTCTGAAAAAAAAAAAAAAACTAAAAAAAACGGTGCAGGAAAACTTTGCCCCGTGTTCATTGACACTTCCTTCAAACAACTCACCACCACCAAAATTTTACTGGTGTGATTTGCTCCTTTACTGATTCGTCTTAATCAGAAAGAATTGTGTCCCACAAAAATTATATGTGGTGCCACCCAAAACCAATCATGGCATGTGCATGGGATGCTACGTATAGAATCCCCTAAAGCTGCAGTGCTTGCTATGAGGGTCAAACTAGCAGATGTTTGAATGATCGGCTGCGAGAACATGCCAGCTATGTTAGAAATGCAAGAGACAGTTACAGTGGACCTCAGCTGCCGTCAGTCATCAAATTAAGGTAATGATGCATGCCAACGATTGCACCCACATCTTTGTGGAAGCAAATCGCATGGCATGTAACAATGCCCATGAACAATATGCCAAAGGGAACTGGCATTTCTGAAATACGCCAGCACTAACAGTGCTCGAAACTAGGCGGTCGTTTTGTATGCAGCATTTTACATTTTCTTGTTCCATTCTCTTTTTTATGCTCTTTCCATGAGATGTCTGCAAAAAACAACCTTCGTTGCCAGTAAGTGCTCGTCTTCATCATCTCTGTGTCCTTGTCCTGCTTCATGCCACACCACTTCAAGCTACACTGAATATACAGCCATACATAGAAATACTGGGAAACTATTCTCAATGTGTTCACCTTGTGAACATGTTCACTTTATCGAAACTCATTCAGTTACTCGAAAAAGTGGCAGAACGCGATGTCATGTAGCTCTTGACATTAAAGCACCGAACATGCCAGCACATTCTCATCACAAAGAGAAAAAAGGTGGATGAAATGTACAGTAGTAGGACACTAAAACAAACTTGGCAGGTCTGAATTTGTGTATGAACGAGTTCAAGTGTTTGAAAATGATGGAGGGAATACATACAGACCTTCCAGGTACGCTAGGTGGGTGGCCAAATTAAACCGAATTCAAGGGCAAACATGATTTTGAGTCCATGCATGGCCTCTAGGATATGCATCCAAATGCAGATCCCAGGGGCAGCATTTGTAGTGGTGAAATATATTCTGCCTCTGCCATCTGTGTCACGAGTGAAAGCTCCTTGATGTCAAAATGACATTGTGGAAGAAGGACTTGAAAGAGAAGGCATGCTGCTCGCTGGGCTCCAGCCAATCAGAGCAAGCAAAACTATAATTGCAACAGACGTGTTCGGCATATGTATTTTTTGATGGGTGTCATAAGAAATATTAACAAGTGTACACTAAATACTTGCTTTCCCATCTGCAAGACAGCGACACAACACAAACGTTTTTAGAGTATTATAGTTGAAGAAAGTATCAAGATGCTGCTACCAGCATTTTACTAAAGCATGGTTCTTGTGGCAATTAAAACCACAGAAACAAAAGTGTGGCTGCAGGTTGTCGATGGGATGCCATGAAAAGACAACTTCCAGTAACATGGAAAGTAGGCCACATATTGAGTGCAAGCAGTGTAAGTTCTTATTGAGTAAGTGACATATAAACTTCAATTTTGAGCCTAATTTTACATTGAATTTATAGGTTGGTAACCTTTGTTTGCCTACATTAAGATTAAGTTTTTTTTTTTTTTTTTTTTTGCACACAGATGGGACCACACGAAGAACTCATCAGTGTTACACTAAGTAGTTAAAGCAGCATAGCTAGGCCAATAAAAGTCGGAATGTTGCAAGATGCATAACAAGTAAAATATGAAGACACACACCAGCATGTGGAGATCATGACAGAAATCGATGGCAAGGGCTGTCAACTCAAAGCAGAGCTCGGCGTAATACACATACGCAGCACGGTTTTCCCACACTTTGTCACAGTGGATATCCCATAGGTGGATCCCATACCTGTGGCAAGATAAAGCCAATGTTTAACACTCTTGAATATTACCATTCATTGAACTATGTTGGTACTTAATGGATAACTAAAAAAAGTTTTTAATGCTACGAGTTTAGTTTTATATTATTTCTATTGGAGAACAGTGCATTGTATCATTCAGTTCTAGAATAAAACTACAATAAAGCATACCATGTAGCGTTTTCTTGACACGCTCAAATCGTAGATATACACATTTACAACATAATTAATGCACAAATATAAGTATGTCTAGATGCTGGCTGCATAAACCCTTGCACAACTTTGTTGCCAGTGTTAAAAACGTGCTTTTTCAAAAACAAGAAAAAAAATGACAAGAAAAAAACATGGTGTTATTCTAGAATGATTGCATGCCAAGGTGTTTGTGTTCTTAGTGGAATACAAGAGTTGACCAAACAGCCCTATTTTAATAAAGTTTTTTTCACTCTCAGTTCAAGGATACAGAGGAAAAAAAAAATGCTTTCGCACATAACATATGTCATTAAGGAGAGGAAAAGTATAGAATTGAAGTCTCTATATCGCCTGGATATGCCACATCCTATATTAATGCCAGGTAAAAAGAAAGAAAAGCCTTCTTTCACTGGCCTCTGTAATCTAATATATCCAGCACTCTTTCTTTTTCAACATATCAATCTACATTACCATGCCTGTGACTGACTCGTGAGTTTCACTTTTATGCACAAAATGGCAGGTAATTTCCTCTAGAACTTCTAGTCATTTGAATATGCTGGAAAAAACAAACATTCAAAGTAGACAGAAATCCACTGGCAGAGCACATTTAACATTTTTGTTATAAAATTCTCACTATCTATAGCATTAAAATAATTCACAAATATTCAAGTTATGTCTGGAAAAACTTCACAAATTAGCAGCACACATAGACCTGAAATTTAACCTTCTCGTGGTGCATGATTCTATGTTGAAAACTGCTTTTTTTTAACGTGCTTAGCAAGAACATGTGGAGGCTTGCTTCTCTTAAACAGGTGGTGAAAAAACAAGAAAGTCAAGTCGAAAATATAATTGCGAGTTGCTTCTTATTCAACTAGTGTTCAACTGCAAAAGTGTAATGGGTAAAAGCAGCGCAAACTAGACGAGACAAAGGAAGAAAGACAGGACTAGCGCTGTCCTGTGTGTTTCTTCGTTAATCTAGTCTATTTTGCATAGTTTTTACCTTTTTTAATGTGTGACCAACTAGCACAATGAAACACTTCTGGTATTCAACTACACACTAGAAAATGTGCGTGCTCAATGAGCATAACTGGCTTGTTTAAAGAGCACACACAATAATGTTATTCCTGCATAAAATTTTGGATGCGACTATAAAAAAATTTCCACCACGAGCTTATATTGTTTGCTGTAGCTGTAAGTAAAGTTTTCTAAGTGCCTCCACGTACACACTGAGTAAGTTACCAAAAGAAAAGTGTTGTGCACAAGGACCACACGTCAAATATTAATGTAGTGGTCCCAACTTGGAATTTGCTATATTAAATTAATCCAGTACATAAACTAAGCATGCATGGGTTATGTTACTATCCGATTCATAGCTACATTTTAGCATGTTTATCCAAGTGAGATCGGACTCAATAAAAAAAGACATAAATCTTTCTCAGGGAACCTGCTGTGTTTTATGTAGCAACAAGGTTAGCTTAAAAACTCAGTCCTTTTTTTTTCATATTATTTTTCACCTGACAAAGCTGAATCTAATAAATGAAAAAAGAAAGAGAAAGTAAAATATGCCATGAAATTGCTAATGGGAACGAAATTCACAAAATTTTTGCACAGAAGAATACATACTAGTACACTAACACCACTACACACAACTCTGGACTGGCAAGCAGCACTTAGCACTTAACAATAGCAGGAGCTGGGCACGAGACAAAGTTAAAGTCAGTGGCTATAAAAATGTGTTTAAACCTTATGTTTCCCTGGACTAACAACTGGTTTCAGTTAATTGGAAGTTGTTAGTGCTCAGAAAATGCTATTAGTTGCCAAAACTTCTATGTTTACTTTAGTAGCAGATTAATTACCCTGGCGGAACACGCCTTCAGCACAGGTAACCTAGCCTTCAGCACAGGTAACCTAAGTGATGAGCTATACCAAGAAATGTGCCAAAGCATACCGATTAAAAAAATTTCTATCTTGGTATTTAGAACCTAGTTAAGTACTACTAGAGAAGTAACTACAAAAGTCAACGAGTAGAAAAAAAAAAAAGAGGCTGCCTAAAGTTCTGAAACTTTGTTGCCGACTGGAAACATGTAACACACATAAGAAAACTGGTACATACCTCACTATCACGTACAATGTTCGTACTGTGACGAGTGAACACTGCAAGAGAAGATCAACATTATTCAGACTAGTATGAAGATAGCTTAGTTGTATTTAGACTTATTCCTGTAATGCATAGCTTTCAATGTCCTCCTGTTTGCCAATAGTTTTTTTTGAGAAAGTGATTGTAATTCAATAATTTAGGGAATGTGTATAGCTCAGTAGTTACTTTTCAGTACATGAACATATGAATCACGACCATTTTTTCAAACAACTACAAAATAGCTACCAACAGTTGCCAAAACACAAGAGACCCACTAAAATAAGCTCACAACAACTGCATATTTATTTCATGCCAAAAGTTGAACTCCACTATGCAAGGCACACCTCACCATTCTGCAGACCTTTCGGCAGCAAATTACTTGGAAAGCTTTTTAAAGCAACTTTCCAAATATTGCAACACTGTGGCAGAATGGCCTTGGAATAGTTGCCTAAATTAAAAACCACTGAAATCTTTTTTATATAAAAAGACAATAAAGAGAATCAATGTGCAAACATGCTCTTTCAAGGGGTCGCAAATATTGTTACGCACCAAGAGCCGTGAAGACAAGACAGGAAAAGCGGGGCAGAAAGACACAAGCGTGTATCTTTTTTAACGAAGCCCTAACACACACTTCTTCTTCGTTCTCTTTGCCCTTTTCAGTTCGCTAGGGCTTGCCGGCTCACAACTCTAGGTGCCATTATTCCCCCTCCCATTAGAGCATCGACTCGATGCTCATACACAAGGGGACAGCAGGGCCCATAAGGGAAAAAAAAGAAAGGGAGAAAGGATACTTATAGTGCACAGGGCATATGCAGGTGCGAGAAAAAAAAAGTCTGTGGTTGGTAATAAAGAAAAAAAAATTAACACAGTTCAAAGTTCGTTCGAGACCCGACGGACAACGTAAAAAAAAAATGTTTGCTGCCCGGGCACAATAAGGCGAGTATTACCGCATAAAATAAGGTTTTAGGCGGACGACATGCACAGTCTCAGTTCATGGTGAGTGGCGCTGGGTCATTGCCAAGCCTCTATCTGGAATGACTTCATAGTTGACCTCGTTCAACCGCCATAATACTTTGTAGGGTCCGAAGTACTTGCTCAGGAGTTTCTCGCTGAGACCTCGCCGTCTAACAGGAGTCCAAACCCACACTTGGTCGCCAGGATGATAGGCGACTGGTTGATGGTGGATATTGTACCTTCGGGCGTCTTCACATTGCTGCAATCTTATGTGCATGCGAGCTAGTTGACGTGCTTCCTCTGCACGCTGAATGTAATCCTCGACATCAGGAGTTAGCAGCTCGTGCTGGTCGAAGTCACAAGGAATCATGGCGTCTAGCATGGTTTGCACGTCTCGACCGTAAACGAGGCAGAAGGGTGCGAACCTTGTCGTTTCCTGGGTTGCGGTGTTGTACGCAAACGTTACGTACGGCAGGATCTCGTCCCACGTTTTATGCTGTACATCCATATACATAGAAATCATGTGCGCCAGCGTTTTGTTTAGCCTTTCTGTCAAGCCGTAACTTTGGGGGTGGTATGCAGTTGGTTGTCTTACGGTGGTTCGTGTAACTGAGCTTGAAGATGTCGTCCAACAGTTTTGCCGTAAACGCTGTCCCTTGGTCAGTGATGATGAATGACAGGGCGCCGTGACGAAGCACTATGTGGTGCATGAAAAACTGGGAGACTTCAGATGCTGTACCGCGTGGCAGTGGCTTCATTTCAGCGTAACGCGTCAAGTAATCAGTTGCGATGATGATCCACTTGTTTCCAGAGTGAGACAAAGGAAACAGTCCGAGGAGGTCCATCCCAACTTGGTCAAACGGCGTACGTGTTGGGTCAATTGGTTGTAAGAGGCCTGCAGGCTTTACAGGTGGTGACTTGCGACGCTGACATTCGTGGCATCCTTTCATGTAGCGTTTAACACAAGCTGCGAGTTTTGGCCAGAAATACAGCTGTCATACCCGGTCGAGCGTCCGTGAGTATCCCACATGGCCAGATGTCAGCTCAATAATATCATTTTGCTGTGCCTAGATATATTTAAACCATATATCCAGGGATAAATGGTTTAATTATAGCAGACTGCTTTCTAAAAAAAATTTATATGCCTTATTTTCTGCATTGTTTCTTGTTCTCTTACCTCCCCCCCTCCCCCTATGGCTATTTCTCACCTTTTTCCCACAATTTTGTTATGCCACAAGTGTTATCTACTCCCGATTCCCTTTAATTGGGCATCACTTTGTGGTGCAATTTTTCTTGTTACTGTGGTGACAATGGCCTCCAAATTAAATTCACAGGCAGCTTCGAGCTGGTTAACACAGACACAGTACAGAATGAATAAAATACAAAATACATGACGTTGAGGACGAATGAACCCACCAACTTGCCCACCTTGTAGCTCTCCCCTAGTTTACATGCCATGTTTTGTTTAGCATGCAAGAGCTGCGGTGTACTCCCTGCAGCTCTTTTTCTTTTTTATTAAGATTATCTGTTATTCCACATTTTCTCTTGCACACATTATCACTTTCAATAAACGTGTCAAGTGCATTTTGTGTTGATCACATACATGTGTGTTTAGTGTTTAGCAAGAGTTTGAACGAGGTGTTTGATGATGAAGACACACCAAGCTCTACATTCACGTGTGAAAAATAGTGTGTTATGATGTGTTCTGTAGAGCTGACTGATTGGCTGCCTGAGAGGCACAATAATCAACTATCCAACTATCAAAATTTTTGCCTGTCACACATCAGCTTACATTTAAGTGTGTGAATAGGACAACTCAAATGTTCTTGGGCAGAACCACCAAACTGTGCAATATTAAATGAGTACAGATGTGTGATTTCCTATACAGACCACAATTACCTAGAAGATATAAATCATACCAAGTAAACAAATGTACGATGATGACTGAGACTAAAATAACAAAATAGGGCAAAAGTAGGTAAAAGCTCACCTCAGCTGCCATAAAAGCAAATGTGTTGGCACCTGCGTGTAGGCCCACCACAACACATACAGCAAAAAGGCCCAATGAAAGGAGCAGGATGCCACACAGCAGTGCAAGCAGGCGTATGTGTGTCAACTTTGGTGTGGTTGGAGAAAATGAGAGCTGTAATGAACAAAGCAGACGAAGATGAAAAAATTACCTCAAGTGCACACAGTAATATTATTAAATCTCGAGAAACTTGCTGAGCACTGATACGTGGTCACATACATTGTCCAAGATTTTCAATGTTGCCATTCGGCCTGAACAAAGGACTGACAGCAAGAGCGCGCCATTAGAATACAGTTGAACGTATCCTAAAGACACATCAGCCATGAAAGTACCTTCACTATATAAAACATTCTTTACAAGCATACACACAGATATAAGTGGGGGGAAGAAGTCATGGTCTGACCTATGAGAAATAAATGCACACAAGGTGCCTGTGATTTGCCAACACAAGGCCTTGTATAGATTTTGATAAGCAACTGACGTTTTGTGGTGCTGAGATGAGGCTCAGAAAACAATATATTACATTTATATGCTCTGCACCACTGTAAACATGTAAATGTATAAGTACCACTGCTATTGCATGCGATCGACACAAGTTACCAAATGCGATAACCAAGCCAAGCACACTAATATAAAGAGGCGCTGCCATATAGACCTGAATTTCACTACCGTGGCAGGTGAAAAAGCACAAACACATTTATAAGTAAGCTTCTCACCATGGCCTGTCCCAGCCATTGCCTCACTGCTTAGCCTGCTTGGCATTAGCAGTGCCAGGTAATATTATGGCCACTTTGTTCATGGTAGTCATGTTTGAAACATCGACTTTGCACACATGGTTGATGCACGAAACACTGTGTCTAGTCTGAAATTTCGGTTACTGCTATTATGCATAGGGGCTAGAGGTAAGCAGCGGTGTCTCTGGAAGTGTGAAAGTCCATAAAATCAGGCTAATGAAAAATTGGTTGGCAACTGCGTTTGCCATATTTGCTACCAGAATATGTATATTTTAAGAAATATGCAAACAAAGGTTCAATGATACCATACTGGATTCCACATTTTTTATTTCAAGAGATTATTTAATTCAGATGAACTATGACCAACTAAACTATTTATTTACTTCGTTCATTGCATACATGTTCGCTGCCATTATACGAAGGCTCAAGTGCATTACAGGTGGTGGTGGTGGAAAACATTTATTAAGAAAAGCACAGAGAGTTGCACTACAAATGCACTTGGGTGGTCTCCTTATTCCAGAAGTCCACTGGAGGTCATCGCTGCTCGGGCGCGGGCCAGTAGGAAGCGCTGAGCGTCCCGGGTGGAGCAGCCGAGCAGGAACTGCTCCCAAACCTCTCTTGTGGGTAGGGGGAAGGGGGATGAAAAAGGAAGAGGTATAGCTGGGCATACTGCAATTATGTGGTACGTGTTGGCCAGCACCCCACAGTGCGCACAGTAGCCGTGTATACCCGGCATGAAATGCTGGGCGGCTGCAGGACACAAGAAGGTGTTCGTCTGCAAGCGTTTCAGAAGTCGCTCGTTCACTTTAGAGAGACCCCGTGCAGGTTCTGGGTAAAGACGGCGCGAGTTTCGATAGATAGATTGATTGATATGTGAAGTTTAACGTCCCAAAACCACTATATGAGAGATGCCGTAGTGGAGGGCTCCGGAAATTTAGACCACCTGGGGTTCTTTAACATGCACCCAAATCTGAGCACACGGGCCTACAACATTTTTGCCTCCATCGGAAATGCAGCCGCCGCAGCCGGGATTCGAACCCGCGCCCTGCGGGTCAGCAGCCGAGTACCTTAGCCACTAGACCACCGCGGCGGGGCGAGTTTCGATAGTAATCAAGGATTTCGCGGTACTGCGTAAGAGCTGAGGTGCCTGGGGGAGACACGGGGTCGAAAGAGGTAACGGCCCGGGAGAGAGAAACGCAGGCAGCGGCATGAGCCGCTTCGTTACCGGGGAGACCCGCGTGGCCAGGAGACCATACTATGCGGATGGAGTGAGGTTCAAAGCGCCATGAGGCAGCCTGGAGAAGGTCCGCGGCCAGAGGAGCTATAATAACTTGCAGGTATTGGGAACAGGCGATGCCCGAGTCCGTGATGATCACTTGCTGAGCGGTGAGAGGCTGCCAAAGCGATGGCTACCTCTTCAGCCCGAGTTGCATCCGGTGAGCGGAAAGAGATGCCGTCAACGTGGTGACCCTCGGATATCACTGCGGCCGTAAAGTGTCCCGAGGAGGTTGGGCCTGAGACATCTACGTAGAAGACACCAGGAGTGTTGGAGTATCGAGTATGGAGAAGTTGTGTTCGGGCTAAGCATCTGCCTGTATTTTGACTGGGATACATGTTGCGAGGAAGAGGATCGATCCAAAGTTTTTGCCGCCACAACTCCGGAACTGAGGAATCTGGTGGTGGAGTAGAGATCGGGTTCAGTGACAGTCTGGGCGGCGTCCATGAACCGTCTAGGACAGGTGGTTAATTTGATTGGTGCGATGAGCCTCCCGCAACTCGGGATACGAGTTGTGCACACCCAAGGCCGCAAAGCGGCGATTGGAGGTAGCAATGGGGAGGTCTAGTGCTCGCTTATAAACCGATCGGAGCAGTGCATCCAACTGGTTCTTGTGGTGGCGACGCAAGCGAAGGTATGGGGTAGCGTAGAGGACTCTGCTGGTTACAAACGCGTGAGCCATGCAAAGGGAGTGCCGACCGCGAAGGCCGCCATGTTTCGTGGAGACTCGCCGAATCATACGGCTAACCTGCTCACTAGTGCGCCGAAGACGTGCAATGGTGGAGCCAGGGTTCATAGTAGAAGAGATGTAGAGGCCTAATATGCGGAGTTCTGCGACAACCGGTATGGGGCCAGATGGGTAGAAGACACCAGGAGTGTTGGAGTATCGAGTATGGAGAAGTTGTGTTCGGGCTAAGTGTCTGCCTGTGTTGTTTATATCACTGTTAAAAATTTCATTCCCTATTTATAACAGGAAGGCAAGTGGTTTCATGGGCACCATATATTGCAGTAAACTTTACCTACTAGCTAAACTCATGTGGCATTGTGTACTAAACGAGCCATATGAAAACGGTTCATTTTACACCTGCCAACAGCATGGTCCTAATGCCAGCATAGCAAGAACCACCAGCATCAGAGAGCACATGCCTTGTCTTCAAGCAAACACTCTATGGAGTCGCTTTCTTTAAGGTGTCAATGTACTCCTACTTCGAAACTCAACAGTTTATTCAACGTGAATGCGTTAGGAGACATCACATGTCGATGTACCAGCTTTTAACCTAAATGACTTACTGTCCCATTCACAGTAGATCACATGAGCTCTATCACTTGGCGCATACATATAGCAGGCTAAGCCATGTAGGTCGTGCATGTACAGTGGCACAACAGAAGACAGCATGGCAATAGGGATTTCGATCAAAAGCCCCCTTTTTAAAAATCTCGTACAAGTGAAATTGCATCAGCCAAACAAAGTGTTCGCAAATTACTATTCACATGGACTCCAGAAATCCCTTTTCTATACCTGGCTGTTGTCGCTTGACTAACATTTCTGCTTTGTTCTTGCACAGTGAGCCATATCCATATTCTTTTAGTATTTATATCACTGTTAAAAATTTCATTCCCTATTTTATTCCCTAACATTTAGACTCAGAAAGATACTATCCGAAAAATGTAGTGGTGAATATATAAGAGGTTGCCATGTGTGATGCTGAAGCTTTAACAAGCACATTATTAATAGAGAAAAAAAAAAGGCAATTCACTTAATCTACTACTATAAGTATGAGACTTCAAAGTAGTTTTATTCCTCACAATCAATAAGAAAAGGTCTATTGACATTCAAACAGTAAGTCCAAGCCAATTAAATAGCTTGAATATGAAACAAAAATGCTGGGTAGCAGCACAAAATACAGCAGCTTAATGCACAGTAACCATTTAAATGATGCAGCACCCACAAATGAGAGCAGGGTTATATGTTTCTACTCTTTTCTTGCTTTTTTTTTTTTCATTTATTTACACTCGAGGTGAATGGCATTATAGAGGAAAACGAGTAAAAATTCCGAATTACCAGGCTGATTCCCACACAATGATGGCTAGCATATTGCAAAAGTGTTTGTTATCATACATTGATGCTACGTCAGGGGGAAGGTGGTTTTAATCATTTGATGCGTGTACAAAGAAAGAAATAGAAAATGCTTGTTTTGGAACAAGGTGTATAATCTGATGCCACACGTTCTGTGGCAACGAACTTGTTAAGAAGGAAGGTATTGTGGTATATTTTAGCAAAATACAAGTTAAAAAAGTGATTAACTAGCTGTTAAAAATTGAAAAAAAAAAAAAACTGGCTTTCCTGGCTATTATAGCTGGATAGAATAAAACGATCAGAAGCATTGCAAACAAGTTCTAGGAAAGCGATCAGCTTTCCATTCACAGGATCTCAAACTGTAGCAGAGCGTTTAACCTTTCCAACTAGTATATTAAGCTAGTTTCTGGCTGTATCTAAAATATTCAAAATAAAATATTCTCTTGACACATTTCAAAAAACTTATTTTCTCTGAAAAAGCACAAACTTTTGAAGTTTTTGCAGCACTGTTTATAGTAGGGCTCGAAACCTAAAAAACTGCATACAAAAGTGTTGCCTAGTGGAGATATGCTGGAAAGAAAACACAAGCAGCGATATTGCAGAGTGGTAGCTGGTTTATTTGTACACACATTATGCCTGAAAACTATTTTTTAAGTTGTCTTGTAAACCACAAATTATTTTTAAAAAACAATAATAGCGTAGACAGAGACTATAACCTGAGTTCATTCGATTTAAAGGCACACCATTTTTTTTCATACTAGAAGTAAGAACACTCAGTGATGTTTTTTTCCTGTTCATTTCTCTACGAGCTATATACATGTTTGTGCACCCCTTAACCCCTATTTTTTAAATATATTGATGACCTGAGCTCATCATGGGTGACCACTTTTGGCTTACAATGAGCCCCATCTTGTCACAGGCAGTATTTTCTCACTATGACTGTATTTTAGCATGCAGAGGAAGTATATTATTTTGCTGCTGTAATGAATAAGGTAAAGAAACAAAATTTTCCAGAATTTTTTTCTTC